CAGATAATTCATCACATTTGTTGATGAATGTACAAGAATTATATGGTTGTATACTGTTAGTTGCATGGTTCTATGATTGGCTAAATTTTGGTAAAACATGATTCTACACTGATGTTAAGAAAGATGTTATAACATCTTCATCAACTATTACGACAGTACTACTGTCATGTGTTTCAAACAGATATCGAAGACAGATGTCAGGACATCTTTGTCTAGTACAGCAGACGCTACTATTTTATATCTCTTGACATATGTGTTTTGGTTTGATGAGATTCTCTTGGATATACCTCATTATTATGCGCAGGTCAAGGAGATTTATTAGGTACAAAGTGCAGATTTAATTGAATTTCATAAAAGGATCTTTGAGACTTTTTAGGAAACTATAAAATATTTGTTCCTATTTTTGTGGAGTTATTGTGGAATCTTTTGTTCTATTTTCATGCAGAAAGTCTTGAGAAGATTTGGAGTTTGATTTGATTTGATTTGATCAAATATGAGTTGGTTTTAATTATGAGAAGATTTGGAGTTTGATTTGATTTTATCAAATCTGAATTGGTGTTAATTATGAAAAGATTTGAAGAATTATCTTATGAAAAGATTTAAAGAATTATTTGATTTGATCAAATCTGAGGTAGTTTTTGCTAAAGTCCAAGCCCATACTAGAAGAGTATATAAATAAGGATTTGCTAGACCTAAAGAATGGAGAATTCACAACAACAAAATCGTGGGTGCAAAATAAGGGTTTAGGATTTTGAGAGTCTCTTGTCTGTGACTTTGTAAGTCACCCTTTGTATCTTTTGATGCATTGTGGTAGACATATTTAGGTTGTATATTATTCTTGATTGAAGTTGTTAAGCAAGATCTAGTATTGTCTTTGAAGAGTGTCTTCTTTGTTTTATTAATCTGTTTTTATCACTGCTGTGATTAAGGGGGAGTGAGAGGGTCTAAAGGTGTTTTAGATAGAAATTACACTAGGTAGGGATTAAGTGAGGGGTTGTAAACGGGGGAGTTTAGCTCTGAATTGATACTACTGATAGTGGATTTCCTTCCTAGCTTGGTAGCCCCCAGACGTAGGTGTGTTTGCACCGAACTGGATTAACAATTCATTGTGTTATTTATCTTTCTGCATTTAAAATTCTGCACAATTTAAATGGTTGGATAAATTGTTCTGTCAGTCTGCAGATGTTACAACATCTGTTATGACACTGTTAATTCTTAAAGTAAATCAAAATGCTCATGTTTTGTCCTTGTTATGTTTTTAGCATAGATCAATGTCTCGACATCTCTTAGGACATCTGAGATCTGCATACCAGAATTTCATATACAATTAAGCTTAAGAGTGAGGCCTTAGATGTATTCAAATAATTCAAAATCTATATAGAAAAGGAGAGTAATAAATCTATTAAGATCTTAAGAACTGATGGTGGAAGAGAATACACCTTAAAAGAATTTGAATCCTTCTGTGTCAATCAAGGTATTATGCATGAGGTAACAGCTCCCTATACACCTCATCATAATAGACTTGCTGGGAGAAGGAATAGAACTCTACTGAATATGGAAAGAAGCATGGTCAAGCAGAAAAACTTACCACATAAGTTTTAGGGTGAATCAGTCATTATAACTGCTTACATTGTGAATAAATGTCCCACAAGAAGATGAATTTGAAGGTACCAGAGGAAGCCTGGTGTGGAAGAAAGCCTAGTGTGAAGCATTTCAAGGTTTTTGTCTCTTTGTGCTACAAACATGTACCAGATGTTAGAAGAAGCAAGCTTGAAGATAAGAGTGAGATTATGAAACTTATAGGATATCATTCAATAGGTTCCTATAAGTTTTATAATCCTCTAACTCAAAAGGTACGTGTCAGTAGAGATGTGATTGTGAATGAGGCTGAGAAATGGAAATGGGAAGAGGAGGCAGTATACAATAAAGATAATCAACAAAGTTGCATTTATCTTGATTCAAGTGATGAATTAGATAATGAAGAAGTGAACAATAATGATGCAGATGAACTAGAAGAAGAGGAAGCAATTGTGAGACCTCAAAGAATCAGACAAGCTCTAAGAAGGTTGAATGACTGTGAAGTAATTCTTGATAATGCAGTAAATGATGAAGGTGATATCATTCACTTTGCATTGTTGGCAGATTCTGAACCTCTCAATTATAAAGAATCACTGAAGATAGATGTATGGAGGCAAGTTATGATGGAAGAGCTTTATTCAATTGAGAAGAATCAAACCTGGGTGCTAGTTAATTTGCCAGATAAGAAAAAGAAAATAGATGTGAAATCAGCCTTTCTAAATGGTCCATTTGAAAAGGTAGTGTTTGTGTCACGACCTCCTAGTTTTGAAGTGCAAGGCAAGGAGAACATGGTGTATAAACTCCATAAGGCTTTGTATGGTTTGAAGCTGGCCCCTAGAGCTTGGAACAAGAGGATTGATCAGTTTCTAATTCAAATAGGTTTCAAAAGGTGTTCAACAGAGTTTGTTGTGTATGTGCAAAGTTCAAATGAAGAAGAAATCATGATAATCCTCCTATCTATGGATGATTTTCTCATTACAGGAAGCAAGACATGAGAGATTAAAAAGGTGAAAAACAAGTTGAAATATGAATTTGAAATGACTGATCTAGGGAAACAATCATTCTTCTTAGGAATGGAGTTTCTGAAGGTGAAGAATGGAATAGTTATGCACTAGCAGAAGTATATAGGTGAAATGCTTGAGAAATTTGAAATGAATAGCTGCAATTCAATTTCAAATCCATCATAGGCAAACTCAAAATTGGATGAGTGCAGTGAGGAAGAAAGAGTTGATCCAACATTGTTCAGATAAATGGTTGGTTCATTGAGATACTTGTGCAACAGCAGACCTGGCATTTGCTACTCAGTCAGTGTGATTAGCAAGTTCATGCATGATCCAAGGAAGACTTACTTGATAACTGTTAAAAGGATACTTAGGTATATAAAAGGCACAAAGGAGTTTGGTATGCTATTCCCAAATGGAAGCAAAGGAGAAAGAAGTGAACTCATTGGATACTTTAGTAGTGATTTGTGTGGAGACATCACAGATAGAAGAAGTACCTCTGGCTATGTTTTCAAGTTCAATGAAGCAACTATATCATGGTGTACAAAGAAGCAACCAGTTATTGCACTTTCATCTTGTGAGGCAGAATATATTGCAGGAACATTTGTAACTTGTCAAGCAATATGGTTGGATTTAGTGATGAAGATACTGAGGTGTGAAGTGATGAAGCCTCTGACACTCAGAATTGATAACAACTCAGCTATTAGCCTTGCTAAAAATCCAATCTCACATGGCAGAAGTAAACACATCGATACAAAGTTTCGTTTCATTAGAGAGCAAGTGAACAATGGAATGATTAAAGTGCAATATTGTCCAATTGAAATGTAGCTGACAGATGGGTTTACAAAGGCTTTAAAGCTTGACATATTTGAGTTTTTGAGAAAGAAACTTGGTGTTATAAGTGTTCAACAATTATGAATTAAGGGGGAGTGTTGAGTTTTAATTCATAACTGTCAGGTGTACCAGTTAGTTAGCATTTTTGTTACAAATTGGCTGCTAGTTAGTTACCTTGTGTGTGGATGACTTGCTTAGCAAGCTATTGTGTAATACATATAAATAACACTTTATAATGTGAAAATACTATCAATGAGAATCATCTCTATTCTCTCATCTTCTCTTTTAATATGTCTTCAAAGATGTCTAAACATTAGAGTGTGTGCGTGTGCGCTATTATTTTCATCTTGCAATTACAATCTTATTGCGCATTAATTGTGTGTGTTCATCACAGTGTTTGTGTTCTAACAAAAATCTCAATTCAACCCACTAATTTTTAACAAATATGCAGATCGGCTCGACGGGTCATGATCTCTTTTGTCAGCACTTTATTTGATCTCAAAAGTTTGAGTGCAAAATAACTTTAGTCAACAATCTTTTACTAGTTTTGTCGTTTTCATCATTTCCTTTGTTGAAAGTTAGCATCTGTTTTTAGTGCAATTGTTAATGATTCTCTCTCGATCCTTGACAACAACAAAAAACTATGAATTACATCTAATCAATCAAAAGGTTTTTATTTTAAATTTGAAGAAATGAAATCTCAGTAGTAAAACTGTGGTCCTGTCTTTATCTTCCCCCAACTTCCTTCTTAATTGTAGGAGAGTGGTTTTAACTTTTAATTAAATGAAGATAGCAATGTCTAGAAAGTTCTCAAATTTGGCATCTTACATGCAAGAAGGGAACAATAAAGTAGGTATTATTTTGGCAGCACATGTCAAGTGAATAAAGACACCCGTGACTCGTGACACCCTGCCAAATAAACCTTAAACAATGTGTTGATGTTTGTGTGGTTTTAATAATCATAATCATTTTCTAAAAATATTTCGTTATGCTTAAATTTGGCGTAGATTGGTTTATTTATATTTGAAACCATATAATATACAATAATTTTTTTAGACCAAGCTAACTGTATACTTTTAATCTTAACAATACATTTAATATATGTATCTTCTCAACCAATCCCAAAAGCAACCATTTTATATATATTTTCTAAATATAGTACAAAAAATAATATATTTATTGAGAATAACCAAACATATTTGAGTTCACCAAAACTATGTTCAATTATATAATCAACTCCAATACTATCATTCTGAAACTAAACACATTAAAATTAGCAGAGCCCATGGTTAAGAAAAAACAAACAACAAAGTTATGATAATTTTTTAACATTGGAAGACCACAGACTGAACACACATAGAATTTCAAGAGAAAACACCGACAATGATATTTAAATTTTCTATACCAATAACAATACTATGATTATGATTTTTCTCCAAATTCAAGAGATTAATCTATACAGTTACGCACTGAGAATAATCATTTTAGAATCAATGGAGAATATTTAAACTCACTCAACTACCAAAGCCAACCTTAAATAGAAGCCAAAAAAAACCTTTTCTCATTTCTCATTCTCCTCCTAAAAAAATGAGAAAAACCACAGCCATTGTTTCATCCTTTGCAATTCACATTATTCTTCTTGCTTCTTCTATTCCTTTCTCATGCACCCAACAGAATGAAAAAACCAGCAACACAGATTTAATAGACCAAATATGCAAAAAAACACCTTTCTACGACCTATGCACTTCCATCCTAAACTCCACCCCACAAACCCCAAAACCCGATCTAAAAACCGTCGCACTCGTAATGGTAAACAACATTCTCTCAAACGCAACCGACACACTAAACTTCATCGAAGCATTGATCAAGAAAACCTCAGATCGTGAAATGGAACAGGCATTGGCTTTCTGTGCTGAATCATATATCCCTGTTGTGAAGTACACTCTTCCTCAGGCTGCTGATGCTATTACTCAAAACCGTTTTGGGTTTGCTGGTTACTGTGTTTCTGATGCTGTCAAAGAAGTTAACTCTTGTAATAAGAAGTTTTCAGGCTTGTTGTTGTCACCTTTAGGGGATAGAAATGGGATTGTTCAGAAGCTTGTGGACGTGGCTTCTGCTATTATTAAACAACTTTTGAAGGGTTGATTTGTAATTTTTTTTATCCTTCTTCTTGTATAGTGAATTTAAATATGATACTTGTACTTTTGTATTATTACCGAATAATAATATGATTAATAATATTAATAATCATTACGGTTAGATGGTTTATTTTTTTAATTAAAAGTGAAACTGAATTTAGTGATAATTTTTTTTTATAATCATATATTTTCAACGCGTAATGATAGAATTATAATATGTAATATCTTTTTATTTATTTGTTGAAGTTTTTCAGAACTAAAATTCTAAATTAAAATATTAGAAAAATGGAATAAAAAACTTTTTAGGGCCAGGTGTCAACGTCCTGCACAAGGAAGGTTCGTGTGGTGGGTAATATGTTCCTCACAAGCTGAATCGTGATGAATTGATGATGAAAAATAAAGGACAAACTATTACAGGTTGCTTCCTGTTTTTTGTTATTTAACTTTTAACCCCTCCAACATTTTGCATTCTTCTTAATATTTCATTCCATTTATTTATATGTTTTTGTGCCAAGTCCAATTCCATCTTGCGAACGCAATTGAGTAACCAAAACCAAATATTTGAATTACACATATTATCTTAGTGTCTTATTGTGTCACATTATTTGATTTATCCCTGTCAAAAATTGATGTGTATTTCTACTATAGAAATCAATTTTGTTATGGGGCAGAAAAGTATATCGAGAGAAAGACCCAGTCATCCGTCTAAGACTATTTTATCAGAACGACCAACATATAGTTCTATCTCTCAGTTAATTTAGACTATGGATTGAATATCAGCATGGGACACCATGGCCAACCTTTATATATAAAATGGCTTAGAAAAATACATGATTCAAATTGTTTTGATTTTCTTATTATTCATTATTTTTTCACAATTTAGACGTATGAGTGTTAATCTAGAAGGCCAACCTCTTCTTCCTCACGTTAAAAATTTGTTCTATCGATTCAAGATCTTACCTCATGAAATCACTGGTCATTTTTGGTTCCTAAGTGAAATTGTGTCGTCGTCTATGAGAATCAACTTTTGATTCTAAGAAGTTTTCACAATTAGATTTATCTTATTCAAGTCATAATCGTAGTAGATTTTATTTTTAAACGATAGTCTTTGATATAGAGGAGGGTGGATAGATCACAAATAAAAAACAAAATTTTTGGCAAAAATTATTTTCAAAAGTTTTATGGCACGGCAGAAACAGCTCGAATCGAATCGTTTAACCGAACCTACTATCAAAAAGTTCGGTTATGCATAACGCAAACCAATTAGGATGATAATGACCATAAATTGTTCAACCACGATTAATTCACAAATCAATTAAATGCAAAACTATTCGTAAAACTTATTTCCAATGAACACAAATTAATTAAAATACTCAAAGGCAATTCATCGAACACTTTTTGTGCGATCGATAACGATTGAAAATTCAATTTGTTTTGTTGATGTTAAAAGTCGATCACAATCAAAGTGATTATGATTATATCAACAACAACACTTTAAAAAATAATTGAAAAACAATTTTCAATCGAATTGATCAAACAACTATAAACTAGATAATTTGTAAAAGCAACAATTAAAGATATAGAAAGATAGAGATAGAGAGAGAGAGAGAGAGAGAGAGAGAGAGAGAGAGAGAGAGAGAGAGAGAGAGAGAGAGAGAGAGAGAGAGAGAGAGAGAGAGAGAGAGAGAGACACACACACAAAGATTTGTCATGGGAGTTCTCCAATCAGCCTCACTATGGGTACGTCTGCCCTCAATCCGAAATAAAATTGAGATACTTGCAATTAACTTTATCTTTGCAAAAATGTTTATACAAAAGATGAAGAACTCTAACCCCACAAACCTTATGGTCTGTAGTTGGTTCTACCACCTCCAAACCCTTGATCAAAGTTTGACCAAGTCACCAACAAAGATGCTACAATCCATCTGTTCTTTACTACTTTCTTTCAAGACCTCCTTGTCTTCAAGGTTTTCACTCGGTCGGATTAATCCCTAGCACGCACTTGTTAAACTCAAGATTCTCGAACACGATTCACGTCTCACCCTACTCCCTTGCAAGGAACCACATTGTCCCAAGGCCTTCACTCGGTCGAATCCGTGTTTGCGTCATCTTGTCCATAACTTTCAAATACCAATGATCTTGAAGAAAAACCCCAGCTTGGTTTTCTTATTTGAAACACACAAAGATCCCAACACAATATTCTCTGTTACATCAACCTAATTGGACGTTATCAACCCTAATGTAGATGGTCTCCCAATCAAAAAATGATTATATATATGCATAGAAAAAAGGTTGAAGATGATAGGAAAGCTTTGTAATTCTGGTTTCGTTTATGTTTTACACTAATACCTTTCTAGAAGAAAAAAAAAAAATATATATATATATATATATATATATATATATATATATATATATATATATATATATATATATATATATATATATATATATATATATATGTGTGTGTGTGTGTGTGTGTGTGTGTGTGTGTGTGTGTGTGTGTGTGTGTGTGAGTGAGGAAAATGAGCAAAAGGAATGTCAAAGTGATGGAGCAAAAATACAATTTTTGAGATGGGGCATCGTATGTGTCGGCCTATTGAAGCAATAAGTTAGTCTATCAAGGTACTTGGGTTGGCCTATGATGGTTTCAGGTTGGCCTATGAAGGTCTCGTATCGCCCATCTGTCGATCTAAGTGAGGCGACCTCTGGGCAGTGGCTACAAACTTTAATATTGAACCATGGGAGCCGGTCTAAGATTCTATATGTCGACCTATACTGAAGCTAAAACTTCTATAGGCCGACCTATTCGCGCATGTGTTGACCTAAAATGCTTTGACCACCTAAAAACTTATTTTTCAATGCATTTTCTTAAAAACTAAGTTTTCAATGCATACATGATAGAAGATGATTTTCCAAATCATTTGAATGTTTTCTAATACTAAGATGCTCATCTAGAACGGGAGGATACCGTCCAATATACATAACGCTGCATTATCCTAGTTTTAACACCACTCAAAATCCAAAAGTATACTCACATACTCCCTCTTTTTTATGATGGCAAAACATGCGACGATGTGTTTCGCGGCGTTGTTATCTTGATGAAGACTTGCCCTGAATATGTGCATTTGACTTCATCTTATGTATACTTCTCTTCCTTTGACAACATCAAAAAGAGAACAAGCAAACTATGAGAAGTATCATTAACCACATACAAATCAAAATACTACACAGAGGCAATTTGCAAAGAAAAGACTATCAACATGATTGCGTTCGCATGAAATGATATATGCATTGACTAAGAATGCCTAAAAATAAATACAAGCAAATCAAGTAACAATAAAACACAATTGTTACACTTAATGCCAAATAACATAACGAAACATGAATAATGAAGGATACAATGCAATCACAAACTCTTGAGTTGCTACAAAAGCGAAATGATTACGTGACATATGCTTTTTGTGCTCCCGAAATGCTGCACACGCATGTTCTCTAGCAAGGTGATACACGAAGTCATCACCACTCAAACCAAAAACAGAGATGTTACAATAACAATGACACACAACAATAATTTTGCTAACATTATAACATGTTCAACCATATTTTATGAAAGAATACATAACAAGCCAATGCACCAAGAGTATATTTCAAGCATATAGATGGATTAGCACAAAGATACTATAACCATATATTGACATACATCAATATAAATTTTTGGAAGTGAATATTCATGAACTATCTCATGCATCAAGAATATCAATTATTTGAAACATAAAACAACATGTAAAAGTAAAAGCTTACATTCAAATAGGGGAAATGGAATAATATTACCTCGCTTATGATATGGTAAAGGATGCACTCTTGTGTAATAAAACTTCCAAGAAAGTTTATAGCAAAAGTATATAAAGTGCATGCAATAAATCATATTTTAGGCAATATTTGAGATATCAAGTATCCCCAATTTTCTTCATTGAGTTGTTTGATTTGAAGATCAAGGAAGTAATTCAATTCCCCCAAAAGGCCTGTCTCAAAACCAACCTACATACGCATAGAAAAAACTCCACTACAAGTTGCATGTTAGTGGATCCAAAAAATAATATCATCGACATAAACTTGAACTGAAAGACGCATAAGCATTGAAATATAACCAGATAAAAGAAAGAACTTTCATACAAAGCTAAAGTTGAAAAGATATTACCTCACTGTATGAATGATGGAGGATGCACATGCATTTCACAAAGAACTCTCGAATGAAAGTTGGAATAAATACAAAACGTGCCACAAACTCTTTAAACAACAATGATCTTACCACTTTTATTTGTGTCAAGGTACTTGAAAGTGTGATTAATAATGTATCCAAGAAGATTATTAATTTGATTATCATTAGAGATTCTCCAAATTAAAATAAGATCTTCCACTGCCACTGGACTTTCAACCTTCCCCTTTTCATAATTTTTATTTTCTTCTTTCTCATGTTCCACCGATTTAGGCTAATCAGTTCCTTTTTCGATTTCTTTGAGAATGTCTTGTAAAGATATACATATATTATAAAAATAAACACCTATCCCAAAATTTCTCGGATAAAACGTTATTAGTAATTAACACGCTTTTACCAATTAAAGAAACATTAAACATTAACCTTATTGGCAAAACAATCCTCCTTGCTTGTCACATAGATCAGTAAAATAAGGACATGTCACCTTATTATGCCTTGATATTCTAGAAATGAGACCACATACTCTAATTATAGAGCCAAGGTATTTTCCCTACAAGATCAATGAATAGTGCTAGGTACCCAATCTTCATTGGGTCCTTGGGGGTGAGTGAAAACAAGGTTGCATTTGGGAAGCCATTGAACAACTCCTTTAGGGACAAAAAGTCTCCTAAATTTTCACTTTTCAATAGTATGACCTTTATTGCAACAATAATGAAAAGATAGATTATGATGAGATTTATCCTTGCTATTTGAATCCTTATGCACGACTTTATGCCTTTTGTTTAAATGCT